TGTTTCAACCGACGCGACTAATGTATGGTGTTTCGTCGGCTCCCGCAATTTTCCAACGTGAAATTTCGCAAATATTGAGCAACATTCCAGGAGTATCAGTCTTTCTGGATGACATCAAGATTACCGGTCCTGACGATGAGACACACCTGCGACGACTAGAGATGGTCTTGGAGCGATTGAGTAAATACGATTTACGTTTAAATGTGTCCAAGTGTGAATTCTTTTCTGATTGTATTGAATATTGTGGTTTTGTAATCAACCGGGACGGAATCCATAAGATGAAAACGAAGATGGACGCTATTCAAGAAACGCCACGGCCTTGTAATCGTGAACAAGTGAGAGCTTTTGTTGGTTTTATCAACTATTACGGACGCTTTATGAAGAATCTGAGTACGCGGATTTATCCTATCAATAACCTGCTGAAGGAAAGTGTTCCGTTCAAGTGGAATGAAGAATGTGAGAAGGCGTTTTTATGGATCAAGAAAGAGATGCAGTCAGATCGGGTATTGGTACATTACGACCCTAAGTTACCGCTAGTACTAGCGACGGATGCCTCGCCATACGGAGTCGGTGCGGTGCTTAGCCATCTTTATCCGGATGGGACTGAAAAACCAATCCAGTATGCATCTCAGACCCTCAAAAAGTCACAACAAAATTATATAATGGTGGACAAAGAAGCTTATGCTATTGTTTTTGGGATAAAGAAGTTTTACCAATATCTATACGGTCGTAAGTTTATCCTGGTCACGGACAATAAAGCAGTAGCTCAGATCCTGGCACCCCACAAAGGACTTCCAACCCTTAGTGCTTCACGGATGCAGCACTATGCAGTGTTTCTCGAATCTTTTATCTGTGATATTCGATATCGCCCGTCGAAGGAGAACGCAAATGCTGACGGAATGTCAAGATTGCCTATCCAGGATGCTGGGAACCGAGACAGAATCGAAGAAGTGAATCTAGTGGAGATAAACCAAATCGAAACACTACCAGTCACCGCTAGTGAATTAGCTGAGTTTACCAAGGACGATCAAAATGTGAGGAATCTGCTGCAAGGCCTTAAGGTTGGACGGAAAGTAGATGGAAGTGATAGATTTGGGGTGGATCAAAGTGAGTTCTCCATACAGAGTGGATGCTTACTGAAAGGAATACGGGTCTACATTCCTTCAAAGCTCCGTAAACGAGTTCTGAACGAGCTTCATACGGGACATTTCGGTGTAACAAGGATGAAATCTTTGGCGCGTTCGTATTGCTGGTGGGAGTCTATCGATAGAGATATCGAGGATCTGTCGAGGAACTGTAGTGAATGTGCAGGAGTTCGCAAGAATCCATCCAAGGTGGCTTTACATTGCTGGGAGAGACCATCTGAGCCTTTTCAGCGCATCCATGTCGATTTTGCTGGACCGTTTCTAGGGCTCAACTTTATCGTTATAGTGGACGCATTCACAAAATGGCCAGAAGTCAAAATCATTCCAGACATGACTACAGATACAACTATTGATCGGCTGCGTGAGTACTTCGTGACGTATGGAATTCCATCGATCATCGTCACTGATCGTGGAGTCCAATTTACTTCGGAACAGTTTCAAGCGTTCATGAAACGAAACGGTATCGCGCATAAAATGGGAGCACTATACCATCCAGCTACAAATGGATTGGCTGAACGTTTTGTTCAGACTTTCAAAGACAAGTTGAAGGCTTTGAAATGCGACAGGAAGGCTGTACAGTTTGAACTTCACAAAATCCTAATGGCATATCGGCGTACCGTTCACCCGGTGACTGGGAAATCACCTTCAATGCTTGTGTTTGGCAGGCAGATTAAATCGAGAATTGACCTTATCATTCCTGCAGGCGAAACTGAATTTTTTTTTCGAGGAGAGGAAAAAGCCGTCCGAAGCTTTGCGATTGGTGAAAGGATTTCAGCACGAGACTTTATTGGATCGTCAAAATGGCAATTCGGAATAGTAAGTGAACGATTGGGAAAGCTACATTACATGATCGAGCTGGATGATGGCCGTCTATGGAAGCGACATGTGGACCAACTTCGGGCAGGCCCTGCCAAGCGTAGCGATGATCAGGATTCGTGTTCAGATAATGAACAGCTGGATCAAAACCGAAGCCGGTTGGAAGCGATGGTTCGTTTTTCAAAACCGTTAGATCCAGAGTCGCAAGAAGAGCCCCTTGTTGAAACGGAAACCCTATCGTCATCCAACGCAAACTCACCAAGTCCAAGTCATTTTATCGAGACACCTCTCAGTGAAACAAATGTTAGTGCCAACTCAGAAGTTGTTACTAAGCCAAATCTAAACAGAACCGTAACTCCTCGTCGATCCACAAGAGTTAGAAGAGCCCCTGTTAGACTAGACCTCTGAACGGCTAGTGTAACTAACATTACTAACCTCTGTTTATATGTTGAAGGACAGTAAGTTAGGGAACAAGTCTATTAAGGGAGGGAGAGTTGCTGGGTTTAACGCTAATTCGAATAAACATTGTTGAGCATATATATCGTTCCCCCAAACGTCATTACCTGTCACGATACAAAACGATCAAATAATAAACCTTCACTTACACGCTAACTTGACAGTACTCATTAATGAGTAAAAAAAGACCCATTTTGAAGAAAAGTGGCTTAACTCATTAATGATTAAACAATTTTACCCATTAATGAGTATATGTTACCCATTAATGATTAACAATTACTCATTAATGGGTAACAGATACTCATTAATGGGTAAAAAATTTACTCATTTAATGAGTTAAGCCACTTTTCTTCAAAATGGGTCTTTTTCAACCATTAATGGATACTTTCAAGTTAGCGTGTATGTTATACTCATTGAACGAGATACATGCGTTTCTATTCGTCTTCACAAACAATCCGGAAGTTTTGCAATTACGCTGTGGATACAGCAGTGAGAGAATAAGAAAAAGTCCGCCATGTTTCACTCATGGACTGACAGTTACATATGGGATTTCTCCATAGGAGTAAAGAGTTACAGAGCTCTCGTCAACGCCAATTTGCTCTAAAACCGCACATTTCCCCCCGCGATCTCCTCGCTCATATACACAGCAAAAAAAGTTGTTGAATATTACATCGAAACTGCTGCAACCAGGTCAATCCATTGGTTGTGTAATATCACATTGTACGATGTACATCGATTTTGCGAACAAAATTACATCCATTGATGTTATATTGTATCTGCGTTTTGCTATTACATCATTATTTCATACATCAGCTTGAATTACGTTGATCGATATTACATTTTTTTTTGCTGTGTAGTGACAAAGCTGTATCACCATGTATATACCCACCATGATTCAGATAGTGTCAAAAAACACAGTGAAGGATACATTTATTCATACAAACAGGCCACCATTACCGAGCATGGAAAGCTGGATAACGCACGACTCGACCACTGAATACGCTTCCTGTCTCTAAAGCTGGGTTTAGGCTAGGCAAGTCAAATGATCAACTCAGTTGAATTCAATTGGCTTGAAAAGTAGAGCCTGGTTCAACTTTTGACGTTGGATAACGTCTTTCGGCAACATACGGGGGTACAAAATTGAAAACAGTCATTTTGGATGCGTTACAAAAAATTAAAAGATTTTGAACGATAATAACTCAACCGTCTCTCGATAGATTTACGAGATAATGGCATCAATCGATTGGAAATATTTCTAGCAATTTGCTGAATGTTTCAAAACTATTGATTTCAGTCTGTAAACTATTGAAAAATGGTTAAAAGTAAACCATTGTCAAAAGATGGTGAAAATCGATTGATTTTTTTTATATTCTTATACTTTCTCCAACCGAGACATCAGATGCGAGTATCTGACACCTCTGATATTTTCTGTTCTACTATATAAGCGTCCAACAAGGTCGCCCGTTCCATCATTGTCAACAACATCAGCCCAACAAAACGGCCCTTTTCAGGGCCACCAAACTTTCGCAAAAGAGTTATTAAGGAATATTCCTAAAATATAATATACACAATTAAGTACAACACATAACAGACGTTATCCAACGCCAACCCTGCGGTCGTATCTAGTATACAACCCTTCCAACTTTTTTCAATTCAAGTGAGTTGATCAAATCAGTTGAATAGTATGGTTTACACGTTCAAGTCAGTTGAATTCAACTGACTTGATCAATTGACTTGCCCTATCTAAACCCAGCTTAAAACGAATGGCTTAAGCGCCACCTCCGAAGAGGACAACTCGTCAAGGTTTGATTTGCCCGACAAGAAACCCAACGTCAGGGCGGGTTTATGAATGGAAGAGACCGAAATTTAGTTCCCTAATCGTGTTCAGGTTCCAAGTTCTAGCGATTGCTAGCCTATTCTGTTAATTTTCTTCGAGCTCACGTGTTAGTGTGCGTGTGTGGAGGTTCGCATGCGTTTTATTTACTCACGGTACCATCATTGTCGTCACTGCTTCATCCGTATCGACACAGAAGCATCCCATTGTCGGAGTGAGGTCGGCAAAGTCGCACCATATTCAACGGTGGTGGTGTTGCGGTGTGCCGAGCAAAACCATCTATCGCTAGAAGTGATGCGGTACAAATCTGCACTAAACGATCCTGCACAAAAAGCCGTCGAACGGCTGCTCGTCAGCTGTCAGTTTGTCAGTTTAGTGTCAATCAGGGTAGTAATTATTTTGCTTTAAATCTTGATTTAAAAATCGAAATGAAAGGTGTGGATTCGAAAAAAAATATCGCTGTGCTCAGAAAACGAAGCTCTTTCAGATAATATATAAAAACGGATATATTTTTCAAAATTAAAGAAACCAATTGATTGGGGGCTGTTCATTAACTACGTAGACAGTATTTTTGGATTCTTGACCCCCTCCCCCTGCGTAGACAAATTGTCCATACAAAAAAGTTTAATTGTGTGCGGGCCGTGGATAATTGCCAACCCCCTAAACTGTCTACGTAGTTTATGGACAGCCCTTTCATATTTCTTAAGACTGCCTACGTATGAGCTGTGATATCCATTCAATCGAAATGATTACTCATAATAATTTATATTTGCTTAGTTACGGAACTCGGTTACCGTTTTATGGTTATTGTATGTTAGGGCAAAAGTTTAAAATTACTCTCCAATACATTGCAAACACAATTAAAGAGAAAAAAAAACAAATCGCTCGACAATAAATACGCGAGACCCATCCTGCTTCCGATTCTGGTGTCGACTTGACTCGATTGGGCCCAGAAAAAAAAACGAATAAACTATTATCCAGAGACGCCTAATCCTACAAACTTACGGCTACTAAACGGAGCAGTGAATGTGTGTTATAATGTGTAAGCCTTATCGAATAGTTGTTGTCGTCGTCGGCTGGCTGTTGCGGTTTCTAGTTCTTACATATTGTCCACCAGTTCGCACATCAGTCGATCCAGCGGATGGCACCCTTCACCCCGGCCCTTACCAGTTTCCCCGTCGTTGCCGGTGTCCATCGGTTCAACCGCACTGGTCAACCGGTCCGACTCGGTCAGATCCGGCAGCGACGCAAATGCATTCTTCACCATCTCCCGCACCTTCTCCAGGTGGTTCTGAAACCGCTGGGTAGTCTCTATCCGCTGACGCTTCTGAAGCTCCATCATCACCCGGAGCGTTTCGCGGGCCTGATGCGGACGGAACTCGTTCAGCAGGTGGTGGATGTGAACGAACAGAAGGCTCAAGTCCTCTATCTGAAAAAGAAAAATAAAACGCCATTTTCCAAAGCAAACATTCCAAATCAATCAATATCGGACCTTCTCAGCCCTCCGCGGACTGTCCGGATAGTGCACAAGTAGATCGATCAGATCCAGGAAGTTCACCAACAGCGAATGGTTCAACTTCTTGAGCTCCTTCCGCCGATCAAAGTGCTGCGGGTAGAGCCGCTTGAAACCTTGTGCCTCCAGGGGCCTTATGATGTTGTCATCGTTGCTGAACTGGTTACCAAACATGGAGTACGAATCCTGAATCGGTGGCGGTGGCTTCGGGATCCGATTCTTCCGGATGTTTTCATCGGTGAACAGGTTGATGTACTGGGCCGGTGGTAGGGGCAGCGAACTGACCTGGATTGCGTCCGCGTTTGCCATTTTCTGTGCACTACTCGACCGGGAACGGGTGCACTCGAACGACCTTGGGCGGAATGTTGTGTTTTCGAGAAGATTCAATCGAGGGTTGATGGAGAAAAATCGAAAAAATCTTCAAGGCAAAATTCGACACGAACGCGGACACTTTTTTCGACTCTTCTTAAATTTTGACGTTTTGTTTTGTATGGCAAACTGACGTCTTAGGTTTTCTTTTTAAGCGCATTCTGTTTTGTTCCCTTTCGCATTCGGTGCGGGTGCATGTATTTCAGTGGGTGCAACTAAAGTCCTCTGATTGAAGTATGGACAACTCTCGCGTCACTTTTCAAATAGACCAATGTAACATATCCACCATTTTAGGAAAATCGAAGTTGAAGTTCGACAGATTATTATTTCAGTGCTAACATTTGAAAACGGCACAAAAGCCATTTGTAAACAAATGGTTTGTGGGCCCTTTACTCACTACTTGAAGTACACCCACGCGACACAACAGCAACATCGGGTAGGGGAAATTTTCCCCTTTCTGACGATGCTGTTGGTTTGCGTGGGCGTTCTTCGGGTAGCGAGTAAAGGGCCCACAAACCATTTGTTTACAAATGGCTTTTGCGCCGTTTTCAAATGTTAGCACTGATTTTAACTGTTTAGAAAAAATGCATTTTGTAATACTATTTTTAATGTAGTCAGAGAATAATAATGTTGAAAATTCAGTAGAAACGGTAAAATCACAAAATGTTTATAGCATGAAAACAATATAAAAAAACCACATAGGACGTTTTGAATAGTCAAGTTGTACATCGGACATGTTACATTGGACGAATTTTCTCCATTGCATAATCAATGAGTGTTACATTGGACGTTTTGTCTACATGATCATGATACTACACAGATTTCAGAGTAGAGTACCTAACTTTAGATTGACCCCGCCTTTAGAAAATGAGCACCAATCATGTTAGGCAGTCCAAATGACCGAAGTAACAATCATGTACCCATCATTTCAAACTGTACTTTGGACAATTGTTGACCTATGATTATCTTAAATAAATGAAAGTAAATTTGGATGGGTGTTTTTGTATCAAAAACAATGATAGAAGAGCAAAAGTTTATATCGCTTTACTCGATTTGTTTGCATTTGTTACTTAGGACCTTTTGAAAAGTGACGCGAGAACTGTCTCAAAATACTTAACCGGGTGGCAGCAGGGGGAACGACACTTTAGGATTATCCTATTTTTACCCAAATTTCTCACGACCTAGATAACGGGGTCTATCCAAATATGTGCAACTGAAGTCAAACTGAGCATGAACGACTCAACGTTTAAATTGAGAAATGAAAGCGAAGAGAAGGGATATTAAGGCGGTAATAATCGGTCATGGGTTTGAAAGTGTTCCAGGTCAGAGATTGAGCAGGCGGTCGATAGCTGAATTTTGTGGGTACTTGGTGAGGAACTAGTTGAGGAATGTCCGGATTTTACCAGAAAGATTGTAGTATGGGAGCGGCATAAGCACGGCGTTAAGCTTCTGCTGTTGATGGGTTGCCAACCGGGCTCAAATTCAGGCAGCTTGAAACGATCAGAGTCTGCTGGAAAGTGGGATAGTTGTCATGAACTGCAGACAGCGAATGGAGTGTTTAAGCCGAATGTGTTTGGAGTTCAAGGAGTTAGAATTGGCTTTTGGACGATGGAAATTCAATTTTGGAAACTGAGAGCAACATCTGCTGGCTCCTTATTCCAGTCTTGTTTCCAGTATTCGATTAGCTGCCACTGCTTGGGGTCGAAGACTTGGAAGACTCCTCGCTGATGATTGCTGCACTAAGGGGAACATCGGTAAATGATCACCAACAAACCGACATGAAACATAAACTTAACTCTTGATCGAGAATCCATAACGGCCGATTCAAATGGGCAGCGATACCATCTGTCAAAACTAGAAACACTGGAATAAGAGACCAGCGGAGAAAAAAAACATGAATTTGGCAACAAGATAAACATCAAAGCAATCCTGGCATCACTTGCATTTGTAACTGCTTGCGAGTGACTTCGCCAATGCACCGACGATCGAGTTCATGAGTGATTGTTAAACGATTTTAATACTCCTCCCTAATTGAAGCAAACCATTTGTAAACATTGCAGACTGGAACCGCTTTTGAAAGTTCGATTGGAATCATAACAGTGTCTCCGCTGGTCTCTTATTCCAGTGTTTCTAGTCAAAACCATAGAAATGTTTTATCTAGATAAAAATAATTTGTCCGAAATAGATTAGACACGAACCAATTAATAAATTTTGTACGCGTGTTCGTGGCTAGGATAAACATTTTCCGCGAACACGGCGGCAGATGTCAGTTTTGTGTTTTGAGCAGAAATTCCTTTGTAATTTGTATGATAATTCATGTCTTTTTGTCTGTGACATGATTGCGGTTGTTTTTGTTGCTCTATTTACAGCCGAGTTTATAACTTAATTTTTTGATTATTGAAAACAATATGAATGAAGAAAAGAGACTAACTGCTGTCATGATTACTTGGGATTTGTCAAATAATGTAAATATTTATATCGATTGTATCGAAGAATAGTGGATGAAATTGAATAAATCTAGATAGAGATGGAATTAGTGCGTAACAGCTTTTGTAAACAATGCCTTATCTCGATGATGTATAGGAATTCAAGACACGCCCACGCAAACCTGCATATCCATCGGGTAGGGGAAGTCTTCCTTTGCGTTGACTAGCCAAGATTTTCTAGAAATCATCGAAAGAAGTCATTGTTTACAAAAGCTCTATCAAGAAATCGGATGGTATCGTCAAGCGTGTGTTCATTAAGAATCGAGTTTATTCATAAAAATTTATTAAAATCCGTTAAATTAAATTTAAAATGAATAACTTTTATCCCCTTCGCATTCGTTGTTATTTTTGCAAATCGAGTTATCAGCTCGGCAGCGGCAGTGGAAAAAAACAAGCTATTTTTAACGTAATTTTTTAGTTCACGATCGAAGGTAAGTAATGGTATTTGAGGGATGTGTCATTGTATTCAGTTTATCCAGCTTCCCGAGCTTTCCATCTTCGCGAGCGAACTTTTGTCTCTTCTATTTTGAATCCTGGTTACGCCCTTCTTAATAATTACCATTTCAAGAAGCCGCTATGAAGTCAAAATCTTCACTTGTGTGCTCGCTTGTGTGCTCCAAAATATACTTTGCTTTCCAAATATCTTCTCTTAATTCAAGCTGAACATTGCATTAGGTCCTAAGTAACATTGAGAGATTCTCTTCATCGACTTTCTTTTTGTATTCCCATTGCCATGTAAATACATTCCCAGGTATTTTCAGCATACAGATCGATAAAAGAAGCTTTTATCTAGCATTTAATATGACAAACACAACAAGAAACGGTTATGTGGTCAAGTTATTAACGAAAGAGAAAGTCGACAAAGAGAATCGATCAATGTTACTTAGGACCTAATGCAATGTTCAGCTTGATATGTCTTCAAACGTCTTCACCTCGGTCTTCACCGTCTTCACAAAACATGAACAAGTCAAGCTGAACATTGCATTAGGTCCTAAGTAACATTGATCGATTCTCTGCGTCGACTTTCTCGTCAATAACTTGAGCACATAACGGGCTCTTGTTGTGTTTGTCGTATTAGATGGTGGATAATAGCACAAACAAAGTGACAGACGGAGCGGCTCGAACACTTTGGTGACTAACCTGCTATTGCAATTTTTCAGTGTACCACATGGCAACACCACTAGTACTGGATTGTACCACATGGCAACACTACTACCATAGAGGTAACTCTAAGACTAGAAGGTCCCGAAATAACGTGCTCAACTTTTTGGCTCAGCTCTCGTACTCTCTTCGGTCCCAAGCTAATCGATTCACCCCTCGAAACATAAGAAAAACCAATAACCCCTCATTTTATCTGTCAAAATTTCATAGCGAATCAAAACAAACATTGTGTAGTACTAGAATTTCGACTAGAATGGGGTGCGTTAATCGTTTGCTTGGGACCAATAGGCTAGTCAAGTAGTGAGCCAATTTAAAATCGTTAGTTTCGTACTGATTGTTGCTACTACTAGATTGTACTACACAGAAAAAAAAGTTGTTGAATATTACATTCAAACTGCTGCAACCAGGTCAATCCATTGGTTGTGTAATATAACGTTGTACGATGTACATCGATTTTGCGAACAAAATTACATCCACTGATTACTTTGCTATTACATCATTATTTCGTACATCAGCTTGAATTACATTGATCGATGTTACATTTTTTTTTTGCTGTGTAGCATTTTCACCAAATGTACTAGAATGTTTTGGTTCTATCTCTTTCACTCTACTCAAAACTGAAATGCACAAAAAAATGACAAAATGATACGCACTCTTTGCACACTGTCAAAGAATCATTGTACACAAAATCAACTTTGTTCAAATCAAAACAAAAAAACTAACCCATCTGGTGGATGATGGCACAAGCTTCCAAGAAAATTCTATTACAGTGAACCACATCATTTTAATGGATTTCTTTGCCAGTTAGTCGTCTGTCACTTCGTTTGTGATAATAGCTTCTTTTATCGATCTGTGTGCTGAAAATACCTGGGAATGTATTAACATGGCCATGGGAATACAAACAGAAAGTCAACGAAGATAATCTGTCAATGTTACTTAGGACCTAATGCAATGTTCTGTTCGTAATGTCTTCGAAATGTCTGTGAAAAGCCAGGTGGAATGTAAAAGTCTTCTACACGGTTAGAAAAAAGTACCCAAAATTAAGTTCTTTTCACACATCTCGGCACTATAGTACAGGAACCCAAAAGTAGGTAACGCGGGTCAAAGTAATTTTCATTTACCCGCGTGCAGTTCGTATGGAATTTTCCACTGGCTTTTTAACCAAAAGTAAGTTAGTTGTACCCAACAGTAGATAAATATAATTATACCCAATGTTGGGTTTCCACACTTTACTACCCCTGTTGGGTGATTTTGCTTCTCCGTTTTTGACAACATTAGAAGGAGAAAAAGAGACAAACTAATCAAAAGTACACGGAGAAGAATGAGTCTAGTTTGAAACAACCAAAAATATGGTTGAAGTTCAAACTAATATTCTTGTTGAATCAAAGTCAATATTTGTTTGTTGTAAACCAGTGAGTTAATTTGAAATAAACGACTTTATCACCTGTTTTCTACCCATATAATCGTATTGTCTCAACATATTTTTTGGTTGATTCAAACTAAGGGTATAGTTAATTTCAAACATAAACAGATTTGTTTGAACCAAAACTTGGGTTGTTAGATACGTATTATTCTTAACAGTTATCTTAGTTTGAATCAACGTAGATGTTAGGTATAAACAAAGTAAATTTTAGGTTGGGTAAATACCAACCTAAAAGATATTTGGAAACGAACCAACATATTAGTTTATCACTTCTGATGTCATCGCTCGTTTGTTTACTGGCTGTATCTAAATCGTTTTCAATCGTAAGTCACATTTACACACGGTAATATGTTTAAATTTCAGTGAAATTAGTTAATAATCGCCTAAATAATCATTGATTTCAATTCATACAACATTGATAAAACATCCGTTAAATTTTTAAAAAGTTTTTTTTTAAATGTGAATGAAAGATGATCAATATTCAATCCTCTTAAAGAAAACAATTAGCATTTTCGAAATAATGTAAATTTTTCTAAGCAACGATAGTGAATTGTTGATCCTATGTGAGAAGTTTAAGGTTATTAAGTTTAACGAACATTATCAATCCTATGAAATGCATACAAAAACTATAACTACGTTGGTGAAAAACATACCCAAGTAACCATCAAGCCCGGTAATCGCCTTTTTTGCAATATAAAGCTTATATACGGCTAATAAAAAATATGGAAGCCCTATATTAACCTTATATTGCACAAAGGGCGATTATCGGGCTATTAGCGAGCTTGTTGGTTACTTGGGTAGTGTCCCGTGATTCTCAGCTTATTAATTTGTATAATGTAAATGGCACTACATATTTACGAAAATGTAACTATTACAAAACTTAGAAGAGAAACAGAAATGTATAAGATAAAAACATTATTGTATTTGCCAAGGAACATCTCATGTCTAATTAATACAATAAATCCCAGTAAAATCTTCAAAATCTGTACAAGATTTGTACTGACGGTGAACGCACAACTGTCCATGATCTATGTAATACGACTATTTTGCTTCTATCGGCAGTCTATATATATGAAAGAAAATACTAAAATACAGCAGGGGTAATAAAAAAAAACATTTAATTTCAACAAATTTGTTGGTTGTATCAAACGAGATCGTTGGTTACTTCTAGCATTTCGTTGTTTATTTCAACCAACGAGTTAGCTGGCATTGAACTAAACTTTGTTTAAAATAAACTATATGATTTGTTTGAATTTACCTATGTTTTATCAGCTGTCAAAATCAAACAACCAACATTATGGTTATTTAAAACAAATGTTTGTTGAATTTAGGTTGGAAGCAGAATCAATAAACAACCTCACATTTTAGTTTATTTCAAACATCAAAGTTTGTCAGGGTAAACTAAACATATGTTTGTGCAATTTTCAACATGGAAATTTGGTTAAAGCAACCTAAAATATGGTTGTTTTTATCATACTTTTCTCTCCGTGTAGGTAAATGTGAAATATCCTTTTTTCTTACCGTGTATGCATTTGAATACATGTCTTCAAATCTGGTATCCTTGGTTCCAATCGAGCAATAATTTATTTATTTATTTATTTGAGATTCATCAACAGGCTTTGTTGAGCTCCACCCTAATAACGTTATGGTTAATATTTGCTTAACGACGTGTTCGGGGTATCATCCAAACCATTTGTGGGATGTTTCAATCATTTGGGTTATCGTTCGTATGGTAATTTTTTATTAGGGCAATGATGTTCGACCGAACAGCTTTTGGCAGCGTTACGTAATATTTTACCGGCCCGAAGTGCACCCACCAATATGTGCCCTTCAGAAACACGATTAACGCTCAACGCTCATCAAAGAACAAAAAAAAAACGAACGAAAACAACAAAATAGAAACGTCAAAATCCAGTCGAAAACATCAACATGTGCAAAATTTCACCACGTTCGGTTTAGTTTCTAGGAAATTCTCCCAATAATTTGCGAATAATCTTAATGAAACTCGCTGCACAATGCTTCCACTGAAAGTGAAAAAAGCCCGCACCGGATCCAAGACCATATCGGAGAAGATTCACGAACAGTTCGCTCCCAAGTCGGCCCAGGATGGCGCGGAACAATCGGATGAGGACGAGACCAGTCGACCGCGGGTCAGCGAATTCGATGAGAACGATGACGAACTGGAGCGGACCGCCGGTGGGCGGTTGAGTGACATCCGGAAGAAGAACATCAAGTACCTGGATGCCATCGATCGGAAGTACCAGGGGCAGGTTTCCTCCCGGAGAATTGTTTTCCATTATGATGATGAGGAGGAGAGCGTGGCTGATGAGGAAGGTGATGAAAAAGGGGAATCTAGTGAAGACGAGAGCGGCTACCAACCGGGGGCTTTTGTCCGGTTGAAGCCGACCGAAGGATCCGATCAGGATGAGGACGATTTCGATGGGGAGAAAGAGGAAGATGATGATGATTCCGATGAGGACGAAGAAGACGAGGACTACTCCCTGGGAGACTTCCTAGGAGACAACAGGACAGATTCACAGAAGCTTCTTGAAGACGAAAATCGCCAGGAATCTGTACAGAAGGGTGTCTGCGTTCAGAATCAACTGAAAATGTGGGAACGTCTGTTGGAAATGCGAATCAAAATGCAAAGCAGTTTGATTACGGCGAATTCCTACCCGCACGCAGAAAAGTTCAACAGTTTCTGCCAGGACAAGCAATTTAAAGAAGTCACCGACAAAGTCGTCACAACCATTGAATCGACTCTCCAGAACCTGTTAGAATTGCAAGAAATTCTGGTCGGGCGCTTCCCGGAATCCAAAGACGTCCTCAAATCTTCTGGATCGAAACGAAAGATGAAAAATCCGAAGTCCGGTGGGAAGGACAAGGTCGCTCGAGTGGATCAGTTTGAATCGCTGATCCGAGATTCGTACGCCAGCTACAAACCGTACCGAAACGAAGTCATTCAAAAGTGGCACGACCGAACCAAAGTGTCCAGCAACGTCAAGAATGCCCACCAATCGCTGAGCATCGTAAAGAAGATCGAGAATGCCCTCTTCTCCAAGGACGAAGTGATCAGGAAGACGCAACTCTACCGAGGAGGCTACAAACTGTTCGAGGAACCACCGCAACAGCAGCAGCAGCAGCAGCAGGATGATGATGCAGAGGAAAACGGAGAATCGCAGCAGATATACGATGAGGAAATATTCGACGATTCCGATTTCTACCACGCCTTGCTGCGGGAACTGATCGAGTACAAATCCAACACGACCGAGAACCCACAGGAGATCCATGCCAAACTGGCCGAGTTACAAAAGCTGAGGAACAAAATGAAGAAACATATTGATACCCGGGCGTCCAAGGGAAGGAAGATTAGGTATGCTTTTCGGGATGATGGATAAATCGGTTTTACATATGGTTTCTTTTTTGCAGATACGTAGTTCATAAGAAGCTGGTGAATTTCACCGCCCCAGACGATGACCGCCGTTTGACGGATGACGCCAAGAATGAGCTGTTTAGTTCGCTGTTCGGTGGAACGAGTAGTTAATCGAATTCGTTGTGGCAATTGCGGTAATAACAATTCCCTAATGTAAACCGCTGAGCTGCTCACTTCGATCTCGGATCAGTTTTGAAGATGCCCACTTCCATAAGTATGCACTTGCATTTCAATCAACGTAATTTCCTGTATCAAATTCGAGGCACATTAACGTGGTCGAAGAAACAAAAAAATGTTGCGCCTGAAAAGCTATTTACTCGTTTATTCCACCTTCAAATGCACACTCTCGTCGGGTTGTATAAACGGAACCATCTCTCCGCGGACCAGACTGGCAAAAAACTGCCCAATCGAGATGGTACCCATCGCCATCGGACGCACAATCCGCTCCTTGCCTCCACTACCGTCAACGTCGCCCTCCGTGCTGGTTGGAGTCGTCCTTTGATTGCTCCAACTCAAGCTGCCCCAAAAACTGCTCGATCGCGGAGCGATATAGATGATGGTGATGTTCTCCTTCGAGTACGATCCGATGTTGTAGATTTCCATGCTGTCCAGATTGGTGTAGGTCCTCCGCAGCCACCGGATCATCCCGTCAAACGGAAACTGCAGAATCATGCGCCGGACCGTCATCAAGGCGAACGATACGCAGTAGATCGCGAATCGGAGCTGTCAAGATATAATTTTTGAGTTTGGTTTAGATTTTTTTGAAATGCTGCTCGGGGCGCGGCTTACCGTGGCGAAGACAACGTAGTACACAAGGATCGTTGGAAGCAGAAAGAGTAGCACGGCAAAGGTCATCGTGGCCAGGAACAACTGCCGATTCATGTACTCGTGCGATTCGACACGATCGCGTAGGACGTTCTTCTTTTTCCCCAGCACGATCCGGCAGAGGGCTCTAATGCCACCGATTTCGATTCGGTACAAGCTGGAATGAATGATTCGTTAATTGAAACTAAGCTTGCCGTAACTTTTCGCCAAACTTACACGGCAGCGTAGATGTAGAAGCAGTGCGCGTGCAAGCTGATCAGGATGATTAAATCCGACAACATGGCCAGCTGGAATGACAGTCCGAAGAGACCCAGAATCGACAGGGGTATGAACAGGAAATGGATCGCTGGGGAGACGATGATGAGGAAGGTCCACCAGAGGTCCACGTGGTACAGGAAACAGTTGAGGAAGAAGTCGTTGAGCGGGGCGTTCAGCTTCAAGCCGATGGGACTTCCCCGCAGGGTTTGAAGCAGCTCCCGAAGGTAGTGCACTACTAACTAGTGGATAAAAGCAGCATCAATATCAGTTTTTCGATGCGATATTACAAAATACTTTTACTCTGTGCAATTGAAACGTTTCTTACCTCAGCATACTGCATGAAATGGACACCCGGGTTACCAAAGTACAGAACCAACGATAGAACTGCCACGCCGAAGCCGATGTCGAACAGCAGAGCCCATTTGGCGCTGAAATGGAAAGCATAACAACAAATCGCTCAAGAATTCCAGTTTACCGCCTCCATCCTCACCCCTCGAATCCTTTACTCCTAATACTGTCGCACCACTCCGAGAAATGATAGAACAGAGCAGTTTTCCTGAGAAATATCCTCAAAACCGCCACCAACGGCCTCATCAAATAGGCCATCCCCATCGCCATCCGGCACCCCGCAGCATAGGCCAGCAGATCCTGCACGGCCGAGTTCCGGTGCGGTTTCGAAGACTTGATCAGCCGGGCCAAATGCAACAGATCATTGTCATTCTCGTCCACCTGCAGCTGGTTCTCGGCCAAGTTCGAGAATCCTTTCTCGTCGTAGATGATCAGCACCTTGTTCAGCGTCTCGATGGTCACTCCCTTCACCTTTGTGGTGACATGCTTGATCCTACCCCGGTCCGATATCGACAGCCGGAGGAAGTTCTCCTCCTGCAGCAGGATGTCCCGGTTGGTGGTCGCCGGATCCGCTTCCTGAAGCCGCCGGTAGTCCGACTCGCTGCAGATCTCCCCTATCAGATACGTCCCCGGAAGCAGCTTGCTGTCCAGCACGGCAAAGCGAATCTCGTCCCGCTGCACTTCGATCACGCCGAACAGCTGGCAGAACGTGCAGTGTTCGACCAGCTTCGATGAGAGGTAGATTTTTACGTTCATTTTTGCGTTTGTGGGACCATTTTTACACCGAAAATTGATTTGAAACTAGCAAAACAGTCCTTCGTTAACAGTAAGTTTGTTGAGAACTGGGGAGTTAAACAGAATGAAGGAGAATCATCACTGCTAGACAAACAATTGAAATAGGCGGAACACTAAACCTAAACGATGTCTTTTTTTTTTTTCCTTTATTAGAGAGATTTTTAGCACCCCGTTCACATTACAGCCTATATCACGTAATATAGACTGTCTTGAAATGAGCACTCATACATAGGATTTCCAGTGAAAACTAGATGTATGAGTGCTCATAGCAAGACAGCGTATATCACGTGATATACGCTGTAATGTGAACGGGGTATAAGCATAGAGGTAATTGGTATAAGGCTAGTAGTTCATCTTTTAAAACGATGTCTTTAAACGGACATTAAATGAAATTTTCTCAAAAATCGAAACAAACCCACGCATAGGGTTTTTGATCTAATTTCCGCCCTACTAAGCGCAACCCGCGCTTTACCTCTTTTCTGAACGAGTTTGAACGAAAAATGGAATATTTTTGTCAAAGATGATTTCTAAATTTATTCACCTTTCCATACGTACTGTTAGATTTGATAGAAAATCACAAATTGTTGAGTTTAAAATCTAATACTGCTTCTTGATTCTAAATTCGTTCTACGAGTTTCAATTCTGTCATAACGCATTGAAACGCCATTAGATTTCCTTCGTCCTACGGATAAACGTAGAAAAAGGGGAATCGCTAAGAGCGCTTCTTCTTAAACGGCGCCGGTGGTGTAGTGGTAAGCGTGATTACCTCTCACCCCAGTAGGCCTGGGTTCAATCCCAGTCGGCGCCGCCGGGATGTTCTGAGGCATAACATCTCTGATCACGCCTTCCTTCGGATGGGAAGTAAAGCCGTTGGTCCCCGGTTCATGAGTTGATGGGTCGATAGGTAGGGTCCAGGTGTGGGAGCTGCCTTCCTGGCACGTCGGTAGCATTGGTGCTCAGCACGGAAAACAAGATCGACGGAAAAAACAAACCAAAGGAAAAAAAAAAAAAAAAGAGCGCTTCTTTTGTTTTGAGAACAATGAGCGTAAATATTCATATAATGCGCTCTAACTGGGTTTACGTTGGCCGGCGCCGGTGGTGTAGTGGTAAGCGTGAATGCTTTCTAACACCCCGATGGGTCTGGGTTCAATCCCAGCCGAGGTCGGTGGGATTTTTCTGAGGCATAAAAATCTCTGGTCACGTCTTCCTTCGGAAGGGAAGTAAAGCCGTTGGTCTTGGCCCATGTGTGTTGAATGGGTGCGATATCCTACGCAGGTGTGGAAGCTGCTTTCCTGCACATTCGATTGCCTTCCGATTGCCTGATCTTTTCTGATCGATAGAACGGAAATGGGCGATTACGACGAAGTAGTGCTCTACCCTCCCTAATAAAAAATAACCATAAACGAACGATAACCCAAATAATTGAAATTTTCCACAAATGGTTTGGAAGACACCCAGAACACGTCGTTAAGCAAAATAACCATAACAATTTTATTAGGGCTACTAACGATGCCATTCGGCAAAGGAAGTTTTCACTATCAGATGCAGATATTAGATTGCTTGAGCGTGATTTGATTCTCAAGAAACTTGTTTTTAAAGCCATTAATTTTGTCTGTTACTTCTAGTCGTTTCGTCTCTTTCAAATGTTGATCTAGAAAGGAAAGTTTCTAAAGGGTGTCAAATCAGGGTTGCCAATTTTTCCTAATTTAAATTTACAGTGTAGCCCGGTTGTCAAACGCTGAACAAAAGTAAATAAACATCGCGACCTCCCGCAGAAAACAACAGTAAATTTCGTGCAAATTTCCGGGGAAAATGATGAAAAATCGCCTCTTTCTGCTGCTGATAAGCAGCATCCTGTTCGTCGAGACGGCCCAGATCACCAAGGACAACAAGGACAGTCCGTCGTCGATCAATCAGTCGCACGAGTTCAACCCGCTGGGACCGCTGGTCAAGTGTTCCTTCCTGCCGATGGAGTTCATGGACTGTGACGAACCGCTGGACCACAAGGGTAACCGGACGGCCAAAGAGGAACTCGGCCACGGGTGCGTCAAGTTCGGTGGAGTCCACTACGACGATGTCGAAATGACCAAGGTGAAGTGCGTGGTGTTCGAAAATATCGAGTGCTTCGGGCCGAAGGAATTCATGCGAGATGGATTTCCGTGCGTCAAGTACACGGACCACTACTTCGTGACGACGCTGCTGTACAGCATTCTGTTGGGGTTCCTCGGGATGGATCGGTTCTGTCTAGGCCAGACGGGGACGGCCGTGGGGAAGCTGCTAACCCTCGGCGGGATCGGCATTTGGTGGATAGTGGACATTGTGCTGCTGATTACGAACAATCTGCTACCGGAGGATGGGAGTAACTGGAACAACAAGGTCTAGCCGGGAGGTAAGTGTGGAAGCTAGTACGTTCAGACTATAGCTGATATCATGTAATGTATAGGCTTTAGTCACAGACAAAAAGACATAAACCTCGCGAGTGGTTCATCAAACACGCATTTAACGGTCAATTTAAATGTTTTTTAGTTGGTATTACCGCCACAAGTGGAGCGCATAGTCAATTCACTCGCGTTTGACGTTAACACACCACCGGCGTACTGCCCATCACAGTACACTGAACCAAATTGTCCACACATGAATGTATGATTATTGCTTCACTTGAGCCCCATACGGATTATTTTTCTATTTGAGAAAGATTATCATTCTCTGATTCAGCTTTCAAAGCACAGAAGAACTGAATAGCATCAATTCTACAACAGGATGATTTTCATTCTGCACACTGTAAACCATCAGTTCTAAATCAGCATGATTATCATCCATTCTTAGGAAAACTTGCAATGAACAAACGGTATGATTAAAATTGAGAATGATACGGACTCGTCATACAGTTTCAAAATAAATTGTCATGCAATGTTCAAATGAAATATAAGTGCAATCTGAATGAAAAATATATAAAAGAAGAAAGCTTATTTTACATTTTAAAAATTGTGATCATAACAAAATATATCTGTTCTAAATCGTTGGAACAGTAAATTAATGCTGTCAATGAAACGCTTTTGTTTTACAAGTTGAACAATAGTGTTATTCATTTATTTGATATATTTTTCTGCGAAACATAACTTTTCTTCCGATTTCTTCTATTGTAAAAGGAGGGCCATCGAAAATTGTCATTACAAATTGAAATATATCATCTATCTTTTCCCCTACTTCAAACGCCTGATAATGCTTGTTCAGACATTCAACTTTCCATCTCACAACGATTGCATATTCCTCGTTGGCATATTTGAGGAATTCAATTATTTGGTATAACTCTACTGTAGATCCCTGAGTTACTGACACAAAGTTTCCTGAGCAGTACTTAACATTATTGTAGGTTAAATATTGAGCTGTTTGAACAATTTCTCGCCTATCAATGCTGCTGTTACAAACATTATCGACGTAAGATTTTTCACCCCAGATTGCCTCTTCGTATTTATCATTTGAAACAGTTTTAAAGAATGATGAATTTACTACATCGTGAGTGAAATATAAGCTAGCTTTAATGCACATAGTCAAGCAAACATTTTTTCTGGAGGAGCTGACATCAAAATATTCCTTAAAGTCTCTGTGACGAGCTTCTTGTCGAAAACATGACATTTTTTTTAGAGGACCGCTATTTTTGATTATTTTAGGATAATGTGTTAGAAAATGTTGCTTAGGCTTTAGATGTTGATCAAATAATGAAATATACAGTTTATGATGCTCGCTAACGAGATTGCTCAAACGCTCTATATCTTCATTCGTGAAGGCTGGCAAATTTATAGTATCGATCATCTCAATGAGTACTACAGCATAACTCCATACAGGATCGTCTGACGGAATGAAAGGCCCAAAAATAAAGGTGAAATAGTTACAAAACACAGCCATTTCGTTAGCTGTCATTCTTAAAGTTACTGATTTATTTTTCTTTGCCTTGATGTATTGATCTCCTAAATCAGGCATCCTTGCCAGGGCTTGTTCCAATCGATAGTTGTTTAACATTTTTCGCTGTTTGTTTATATCATTTAAAGTACAGTAACGTTTTGTGAAAATGCAGTGATTGATTATTTCAACAAAGCCATAATGACATACTCCCGTACTATAGAGGTCATGCATACAATCAGCATAAAAATTGGTGATTGCATGGAAAGACGGTAAACAATTGAAGACAGATCTTCCTGTTAAACCTGACTCTGACTGCTTTAATGAAATATCTGTTTCGTAGTTTTCCATGGTACGCAAGCATTCTTCATGCTCTTTCAAATCATACATAAGGAAGTCTTTTGCTCTTCTGCAGTACCTACAATAGAACTTTGCTGAAAACGATCCTGAAAACTGAAGAGTCTGGTGGATGCCTAAGTTGTCACCTTGGACAAGCATTAGCGAGACGTGCACTTTATATTCGTGTTTTTTCGTATTGATTACTATTCCTTCTTCCTCTATCTTTCTAAACTCATCTACTACATGCTTCATAAACATGTCTATACCATGTTCTGAAATGTCTATCTTTTTAATAGCACCAGCAATGAAAACATTACATAACTTAGCAAGGTGCTGCTCAGGTAGTATTGGAAATGAATAATATAGTCCACAAATTGAATGCCTTTTGTTATGCGAGCTTAACGGATCATTAATCTCGAACTCATCCGTGTAAAAGAATAATGGTATGATCAATTTTCCAGGGTTTTGGTTTACATTGTTTTGATACAGCGCTCCGTTGACAAAATTGCAATATCTATTACTTGTTTTCCTTAGATTGTACATATTTTTAATTATTTCAGACAGCACATCTTCGGTTTCGAGAAATTTTCTGATTTGAAACTCTATGTTCATTAAGATTAAATGTGTAGTTTCGATGTTCGTGTCACTTCCTGCTTCATCGATACTACAGTTTTTAGCAATAAATACTCTCGGTTTACTGAAAAGGTCCGCCTCTATAAGAAACTTAAAGAACTTGTGCTCTGTATCAATGAAATCAAACATTGAAGACATTTTTTGTAGATAAACGTCTGTAATATACTGTGTTTGTGGGTCACATGCCTGCAAAGGTACTACGGAGCGGATCAGGATTTCAAGGTGACTGTATATGTTCTTGACGCTAGTCTGGACATCAAGAACATCCTTCCGTGTTATGTTGCGTCGCTTGTGGAGGTCAAGGACGAAGTTCAGTGCCATGTGGTCAATGTTTTGTAATGACTGAAGAATCTCACAGCTAGCGGAAGTCGTTGGAGACCTTTGGGAAGGTACTCCTGCATCTGATTCCTAGGATTGGAAAGATATGTATTATTAATGATGTTCAATAACTTGAGGAAAAGTGGAGTCGGTCGAAATATTTCGTGGGGGGGTTGAAAACCTCGGAAGAATGCACATATTGACCCATGTTTTGTATGGGAAAGTGCCCCCGACGAATTATTTCGACCAACGTCTGAAAATGACAGGAAAAATGCCCTCTTTCATGTGGGGAATGTTTCGATGTTGCCGATTTTTTGTTATTGTTAAGTTATTGTTAAAAAGACATCGTGCAGCTAGTTAATAGAATGAAATAGTTCACAAATATCATATATTACCAGCGGTACTTCATTCGTGTGCACGACTGCATGATCAGGATCATTCTTCTCGCATTCCATATGTTCTACAGCGCTCAATGGTAGATGAGTTGCTAGATGTCTCGAAAATCGGTATAATGTTGTCATTTTCTGTGTGCATTTATGGTAAGTACAGACCAATCGAAGTGGTTTTTCCAAATTGTGAGTTTTTAAATGTGCCAAATATTGTGAAGCTTGTGTGGAAACGTATCGACAATCTTGAACAAAACAACTAATTGAGTTGTTCATAGACATATTGCCTTAAGTTCTTCGATTTCTTTATATTGAGCTGGCGCTCGGATGTCGTAGATGATTTCTTCGATAGTATACCACACAAGCTTTGTGATTTTGGAAAACGGTAGTTTCAAAACATTGCACAATTTAATCATGACGTCTACAGCCCGAGCTGCTGAGTCCAGTTTGTAAGTTAAGTCCTCAAATAGCACATAGAACTCTTTCTTCGTGGAGGTGTAATCAGCTCCAATTGCGACAATTTTGGGATGTGGAACAATTTTTTGAGTAGCGTAGGCTTCGAAGAGTGTTCTAATAGACTGACGCGCAGAGTCCAAACTCTCAGCAAACATCAACACATCTTCCTGCGCGGTCAAAATAGCTGGCCTCATGGTCTTAGTAACTTTGCTTGGCTTCACGCAGCAGTTGAGTAGGATCAAAAAGCAGCAGATGAGAGCATCTAAAATAAAATAAAAACAAACAAAAATCAATAACAAATATAAACCGCACCATACAAAAGAGCATACCTTCAGATTGCTTTGGACGGTTCATAAACTCCAGTACAACAAGAGAATTTTGACTGCGAACTTTGAGTATGAAATATGTCCTTAGCTTGGCAATTACGTTTTGCCAGTTATTCTTTCCTTCTTTGTATCCCAAGGCACGATAATCTTCATCGATCTGTAACATAAAAATAAATCATTTAAGTCTCTATCTTCCTCTTTGCTTTGATCGCCTTTGCGACAAGTATTGTCTGAAATCCAACGTATCATGAATTCGGGTGAAATTTACATGATCAAATATTCCACAATAAAACCACAAACAGACATAACACTCGCATTTAACGGTCAATTTAAATATTAGTTAGTTGGTAGTACCCCCGCCTGTGGCGCTCATAGTCAATTCCCTTGCATTTGACGTTTACACACTACCGCCATCTATTGAGCGTGTTGTGACAGTGTTTTCAACAGATGGCGGTAGTGCTTGAGCGACGATGTTTTACAGTGGAAACTATACAATGTGTTATGTCTGTTTGTCTGTGATAAAACTTTTAATAATAAAATTACTGAGATCAACAACTTATGTTAAGTTCACCAAAAAGGAACCCTAATAAAAAATAACCATAAACGAACGATAACCCAAATAATAGAACTATTCCATAAATGGTTTGGATGATACCCGGAACACGTCGTTAAGCAAAATAACCATAACAATTTTATTAGGGAACATCGACCCAATCCGCATTTATTGTAAAAAAAATCAGATCTAGTATAATGACACGTAAGATCCAAAAAAGCTAACTTCAATCAACCTAAGTGCAATAAGTCACTGTGAAAAATCTGCTATTGTATCAATTAGGGTAAATATTTTGGCTTTTAAGGCCCAACTTCTCAAATCAGGAATAGGCGGAGGCCAGAAGTAAGAAACGCGGAAGTGCTTCAAAGAACAATACGTTAACTTGTGGGCAAGAATCCCAGTAGGAATGTAGACGTAAACGTCACTTACCAGATGATATCCGAGCTCTTCCTTGTAGTGGGGATATTTCACGAGAATCTCGGGGTACTTCAGGTTCCTGATACTGGCGACACGAGGCTGAACCGTTTCTTTCCACATCTTGAGCACAATATCCCAGGGATGCACATTCAGCTGTAACCAACGTGTTGCCATGTCAATATTTGTGTCACTCTTGGTGACGCCAGGCGTAGAGGCATTTTCTTTCCCACTCAATTTCCTTTGATGAACCTTTTCTCGCTCTTGTCTTCCACTGACGCTCCTTTTCAATCGTTTATAGGCCTGGTGAATGCTTCCGCCATGGTTTCGCCGTTCGGGGGGTGCAGCAGGAATGTAATACATAATCTGAAAGTAATTCAATATGTGTTTGACGCTTGGTCTGTATTTTAGATATCATTAAGCTTACCATGTCATGCTTCTCATTTGGCAAGAGCAATTCAATGCATTTAGAGTAGTTTTTCAGAAAATCTTTCGAAAAACGGCCGTGGCTCCCATTTCGCTTTAAATGATCTTCAGCAATGATTCCTGAGAGTTCTTTCTTGCTGTCTTTCGAAAGTGGTCCGTGTACAGCGTGTCGCAAGATGGCTCTGCCGGTGTCCGTGCGTTGCAGCAACTCTTGCAGGTCGTTTGGCATGAAAAAAGTTTTGTTCGAGCTATCGGAAATACTTTCTCGATTGCTCGATTTCAGGACTCCAGGCATTTGGATTTCTTGTTGTTGGACGTTCATCGGATCTTCAAGAAGCGATCTTGCTGCATTTGTATGACAATCCTTGATCGCATCCACCTGCTGAATTTGGCATTTTTGCTCATCGCGGCTCTCTTCCAGATTCGTGTTTGCAGGGAAATTCTGTTAAAAATATATAAATCTGAATTATTCTACCTGTGGTGTGATCTGACGTATAGAAATTTCGACATTCGCGAACCCTCTTCCTTCATCAATAAAGACATTACGAGGTTCCCTAATAAAAAATAACCATAAACGAACGATAACCCAAATCATTGAACTATCCCACAAATGGTTTGGATGATACCCAGAACACGTCGTTAAGCAAATTAACCATACAATTTTTATTAGGGTTATCTAACGTTTCATATCAACATACCTCACTGATAATAACCTGACATTCTTCTATGCCTTCTTCACTTTCGTGGAACGAATCAAAGCCATCCGTTTTCTCTGAATCATGTTCAGCCAGAGGCTCATTTGGGTTGAGAGAAGGCTCTGACTTCGGAGAAATGTCAAGAACTGTTGACTGTGACCCTTCCTCCATTACATCCTGGTGATGCAGCTCGCTATTTTGCTGCACAGGTTGCACACCACTTTCCACCAAGAACAAGCTTGGCTCTAAATCAGGAATTTCCAAGCATTCACCATGGGTCAGTCAATGTTGAATAAAAGAAAAAAAATGAATTGAATTACTTTTAGTCTATCTGAGCTAATAAAATATGAATAATGCTAAAAATAAATTGAATTGGGCACCTAAGAAACAACTTTTTGTTGATTTTTTTTTATCTTTCTGTGAAAATTATTCGATGGTGGGATGCGAGGGGTTTCCTCCAGCAATAATTACCGGTCAGTGTCTGTCAGATTACCGAAAATTACTCTGATTACTTTTCAATTAATTAAAATTACTTTATTACTTTTAAACTACTTTTATTACTCTCGATTACCGAAATCACTACGATTACTTGAATAATTTTAGGAATTGCTTTGAAATTACTCAATTAATCAATGATTAACAATGTTTCCAAATAATTGTTAGAGAAATGCGACAAAATTGGGTTCTTTAAGGGTATTGAGGTAAATGTATATTCGTAATCTGCATTAAAAATGGAACCCAAAATTTCATCAATTTTGGTACACTGGAACTAAATTAAATAAGTGCGATTACATTTGTAAAAATCACCTTATTAGCGCCCCTCGGCGTCACTTTGTATGGGAGCGAACTGTCAGTTTGTCAGTTTAGTGTCAAACAGTGAAGTTATTATTTTGCTTTAAATCTTGATTTGAAAGTCGAGATGAAAGTGTGTGGGTTCGGCTTGTGTGGAAATATTATAAGTTGAGTTTAGGAAGCGTTGGGAGAAATCTTCCATTTTTGTAAATAAGAAGAGAAAATATCTAAACTTTTCTGCAGTCTGCTGAAAATAACACGAAGACTTCTTCCTTTAGCGGAAATGCCTGTGTCATCAGCGAACAAAGATTTGTGGCAACCCTGTCGAATGCTTTTTCTATGTCTAGAAGAGCAACTCCAGGTGAGTGGCCTTCCGATTTGTTTGAACGAATTAAATTGGTAACTCTTAAGAGTTGATGAGTAGTTGAATGCCCATGGCGAAATCCAAACTGCTCATCTGCAAAAATTGAGTTCGTATTGATGTGAAGCATCATTTTATTCAAAATTATCTTTTCAAAAAGTTTACTTATTGAAGAAAGCAAACTTATTGGGCGGTAGCTAGAAGCTTCAGCTGGATTTTTATCCGGCTTCAAAATTGGAACAACTTTTGCATTTTTCCATTTATCAGGAAAGTATGCCAAATGGAAACATCTGTTAAATAATTTTACCAAGAAAGACAAGGTACTCTCTGGGAGTTTTTTGATGAGGATATAGAAAATTCCATCATCACCTGGAGCTTTCATATTTTGAAACTTTTTAGTTATAGACCTTACTTCGTCCAAATCAGTCCCCCAGGAATCATCAAAAATATTTTCCCGAGAGAAAATATTCAGAAAATCCCGAGCAACCTGATTCTCAATAGGACTATGACATTCGTTATTATAGCATGCTATGGTCTATATAGGCATATTTAAAAAAAAATTCTGTATTTACACCAAAAATTGTGATTTTTTTAAAAGTATGCCATTCGATTACCTATAGTTTGAAACGGATAATGTAATTGGAATCAAGTCGATAGGTCGTATCGTTGTCGAGAAATCGTTAAAAACGTACCGCGTAAATTGCGACTCAGCGTCACTAACCGTGTAAAAAAAACCACGTAAAAAAAACCGCGTAAAAAGCGACTCCAGTGTATCGTAGATGGTAGTACCGCCACCTATGGCACACATAGTCAATTCCCTTGCGTTTGACGTTTACACACTACCGCCATCTGTTCAGCGTGCTGCCCACCACAGTGACGATGTTTTACAGTGAGAAATATTCAATGAGTTATGTGTTTGTCTGTGGGTTTATGTTCATCTCAAATATGAGGAAATTCAAATCAGTTTGAATAAAAATATGTCATATCTAGACGAAAATTTCAATAGGTCCTATCTGCACTGATCGATTCTCTTCATCGATTTTCTCTTTAATTAATAATTCAGTTGCAAAACCATTCGCTGTTATATTGTACGTTTTCAACGCTAGATAAGAACCTTCTTTATCAAACAATAAGACCAAAAGTACGTAAAATCTGTTTGAATAGCATTGGTTATTAAAAGAGAAAGTCGATGAAGAGAACCGATCAAAGCAGATAGGACCATTTGAAATGGTCATCGAGATATGTAATCATATCCCCCTTTGTCACTTTTTTTGTGTGGACCTTAATTTTTTTTTTGTCACAGTTTCCAAAACCCCTCCCCCCCCCACCCCAATAAGTGACATAATTAATGGATGATCCCTGAGAAGGAATTTGAGTTTGAGATAAAACATACCTTTTCAATTTTCCAAACAGCAATACGATTATGCACATCTTTACCGTTGATTCCGCGAGCACTGAGAAGTGAGTTCCATTCACCAGTAGTAAGGGTGAAGAACGATTCTGCTGGATAATTGTGATCTACAAAATTAAATAAACATTAGTAACATTTGTCGATGGTACAAAAACGTTATGCTAGGTTATGCTATTTACCAGAAAGCTCGAAAATTACTTCCACCGGCAAGTTCAACTGATCGGCTATCGATACAATGTAGTTAAAATTCTGATTCAGTATTCTGGATTCCATTGCGTCTGTCTGTGAATTAATGGGAATTAGAAAGGCCACATACTGCGAAGCTCGCTACGAAGGGACAGAAACTAAATCTACAAGCAAGCACTGGACAGCAAAGGCAGACCCAGAAATCAACCAAGTCGATAGGAATTTGGCGTGGCAAGCAGCCGCCCAGGATTGAAGTTTGGATATCAACATTTTAAATGGTAAGCCTGAATTTAGTGAGATTTCCAAGAACTTTAAGCATGTAGATATTTTCAGTTATTTTGATTTAGGTTATTTATTTATGAATTTTTGATTAGGTTAATTTTAAACTTTTTGTACTTGAGCAAGTTTTCAAGAATATTGAATTAAGGAAAAAGAAACATGCCTTTGGGAGATCCCCGAACATGTCTTCCAAAACATGGTTTCGGAAGATTTCATACCTTCGAAAACGATTGGAAATTGCTCTCGAAAGTTCACAAAACTTGGCTTCGGAAGCTCCTTAAAGGTTCCTCCGGAAATTACTAGAAATTAAATTTTCAATTTCCTTCATCTTCTTGCCTTCGAATGATCCCACCCTAATAAAAATTTTAAATTAATTTGCTTAACGACGTGTTCTGGGTATCATCCAAACAATTTGTGGAATGGTTCGATGATTTGGGTTATCGTTTGTTTATGGTTATTTTTTATTAGGGCAGTGCTTTTTGCAATATTAAAGATATGTATAATACTAGTCCTGTAAACTCTCGAAGGCATGATTGATGCATTAGGATTCGAAATCAGTGGTTTTTTTTATTGCTATTCTACCGGTACCATTCACTATGACTTCCAAATTCACATGCTACCGAGAATGCCCCCGGTTCTGATCCGACCTTGCTAGAAACCCTCAAAACGTGCGTTCTTGAGTTTATAGGACTTCTGTGTATGTGTGTATTCCCTCTAACCCCCACTGGCCGGCAGTGATTTCTTGAGTTTATAAGACTTGTCTTAAAATTAACCTACAACTTGCCTTGGCCTAGTACCGTGTCTCTCATACCTTGACTTCATCATCGAAAGTTCCTGGAAAATCTTTTATCGGAAGCTCAAAAAACTTGAACAATTGATCCATTCTTTTCATTGACTCTCTTTCGTGCTAAACTCGGCTACAAAAACGCTTCCTGCCGTATTAGATTCTAAACTGTTGCTTCTTCCATGGAATTGTGTGTCGAAAATATCCGGAAATATCTTAACACGGCCGTGGCGATCCAAATAAAAAGTTGCTGAAGAGAATCGATCAATATAGATAGGACCTATTGAAAAGTGACGCGAGTACTGCTGAACTTAGAATTTGTCTTTTAAATATCGTTAATGTAGTCTTCGGCAGATCCCACAAAATGTCTCCGAAAGCTCTCAAACTTGCCTTCGAATGATCTCTGAACATGCTTTTCCAAGTTGATAGAAGTTTCTTTCGCAAGGTCCTTAAAGTTGACTCTGAAGGTAGGGGAAAAGTTGGCTTCGGCAATACCTTAACCTATTATCGTCAGGGGGTAAACAACATCCTTGAGAGCTCAATTTTGGCATGTGGATACATTGTGTTTCAGAGCAACTATTGATTGAGTGCTCTAGGACTTTGTTTACCTCCCTGACGATAATAGGTTAAGGTATTGTAGAAGCCAACATTTCCCCTATCAAAATTTGCCTTTTAAACTTTCTAGAACTTGTCTCCGATCATTTCTAGGATATACAGTGCTGTTCGATATAATAGCAGCGCATGCCGATTTTCATACAACTTTGAAAAGTCGTAACTTGACTCTCTT